ATTAAATGAATTTAACACACAATTGAAACATATAATTGAAAACTTCTAAGAAAGAAAATTCTAGGCCTGCAGATGGTTTCATTGGTAAATAGCAAACAAACATTTAAGAAAGAGAGAAGGCTGATCATATAGAAATTATTTAAGAAAGTAGAAAAGGAAGCAATTTTTAATCACATTTGCTTTTCTTAGGAACACTTTTAAGAAGACTTTCTTCGAAGACGAAAGTTATTCACTTTAACAAAAGTTAATATGTTAGTTTTGTATACCACATATGCCCATCATTTCATCCCAGGAAAAGCACACCACAGAGTTTCTCCTCTCGGCATTCAGAGTACTTTGTGTACTGCTTATTGTTATTAAATTACCTTTCTCCAAGACAAACAGAAACCTCAGGGCCTGAGCCCAGATCGCACTGTAGAATCTGACTCTCCATTCCTGGACAGAGAGGTGAAACAGAGTTGGCCTGAAGGTGGCTGACTGTGGAACCAAGTGCTGGAAGATTCAGTGGAGAGAAAAGAAAGTAAAGCTGTACAAAAAAATACTGAGGCAGAGGTCGGCAGATCACTTGAGGCCATGATTTCAAGACCAGCCTGGCAAATATGGTGAAACCCCCTATCTACTAAAAGTACAAAAATTAGCCAGGTGCGGTGGCTTGTGTCTGTAGTCCCAGCTACTGGGGAGGCTGAGGCAAGAAAATCACCTGCACCTGGGGGATGGATGTTGCAGTGAGCTGAGACCACATCACTGCACTCCAGCCTGGGCGACAGAGCAAGACTCTGCTTCCAAAAAAAAAAAAAAAAAAGATATATATGTCTGTTTATATACATGTGTATATATATATATATATATATAAAGTATATATGTAGTGTGTGTATATATACACACGTACATGTATATACATACACACAAAAGTATATATATGTGTCCATATATACACACATACATATATACATATAAAATATATATATGTGTGTGTGTGTGTATATATATGAGATACTTGAGTCAAGGAACTGTCTCACAAAACTATGACTTAAAATATTGAATTATAGTGTCATAGTTACATGTTGTTTTTCCTTCTGTACTGAGGTCCTTAAGAACAGGGGCCTTGTCATAGTTCAGCATGTACCCTGGACTGAGCTCTGTGCTTGGCAAATGGTAACTCCTCAGTTTAATGGATACAGGCCTGCATAAACAAATGAATGATGGCAAAGTATGAACAGTTACTTTACACCATGTCTGTCTTTTACTGAATTTCTACAAGTTCAGCAATTAAATAATGATTTATTTTTAAGCTTCTTAAAGAAAGGATTCAAATCAGTAAAGAAAGAATCATTTGCCAAAATTCATTCAAATAAATTAAAACATTTGTCTTGATGTGTAACTCTGCTTTCTTGTTCTACTAAATGTTCATCTTTTCTTCCAATGAAACCATATATATTTAACTGCCAGTTATTTGATGTATTTGTTTCACATTCTATGCACTGCACTAACTAGTTCAATTGCTGACAATAGTTTTGTTTTCTCATTGATAATACTAATTATGCTACCCGTGGAAAGAACTGGCAGAAGGAAAACTATAATAATATTCCTTTCAATGTACAAGACAATTCAGCCCCCTTTTAGTATTTTTACTAGAAAAAAATAAATCACTCAAAACTATTTAGCAGTTGACTGCACAAACAGCTGTGTAAAATAACTCTCTGGATGGGGATTCTTTTATTTTATTTATATCATTACAAAACAAACCATTTATCAAGTAAAATTACCATTCTTCTTGCACCTGATAACCCACAGATGAAACAAAGAGATATGAGTGGCTACTGGTCTTTCAAATTTGAAAGGTTAGTTGTATATTAGTCTTAAAGTAGAATACTATTATCCCATCAAACAAAACTCTTTCCATTTCTGCTATTAAGACCAGATCATTTATTAACTTACTACAAATTTTGTTCAATACACTGCATACGGCTGATTAATAATGCACTATGAATATTAATGTTAACTATGAACATCTTGCATATGTGATTTCTGATCTTTTGATTGTCAGCATACTATGGACATTACCTAAATGCCCATCCATTTATACTGTGAAAGGAAAGGAGGTTTGAAATGAAAAACCTTCCGCTTCACTGTTAACCAAGTAAAAATATACTAGGATGTTAAGTAGAAGTGATTTCAGGTAATTTTACACATGGGGCTGTTTTTTAGTTTATTTTGTGCTACCAATGCAGAAAACCACAGACTGGATAATTCATACCGAACAGAAATATATTAGCTGGGATTCTGGAGACTGGAAGTTTGAGATCAAATGGCTGGCATCTCCTGATGGCTTTCTTGCTGCATCATCCCATGATGTAAGGGAACAAAAGGAGGCCTAATTTGTCCTTCTATAAGGAATCAACATGTGCATTAACGAACCTGTTCCCATCATAATAGCGTTAATCTATTAATCTACTAATTTATTATTCACTTCTCTAAGAGGTCCCCCTGTTAATTCTGTTACAGCGGTGATTACGTTTCCAACACATGTATTTTGGGAGACACATCCAAACTGTAGCAGAAGGTGAAAATATTTATTTAGTGGCATAACTATATTTGTTTATGTATTCCGATTTTATTTTATTTTTAACTTTATTTTACATTCAGGGGTACATTTGCAGGTTTGTTATATAGGTAAAATGTGCCTTGTGGGTGTTTGGCGTACAGATTATTTTGTCACCCAGGTAATAGGCATAGTACCTGAAAGGTAGTTTTTGAATCCTCACCCTACTCCAGCCCTCCAGCATCAAGGAGACCCCACTGTGCATTGTTTTATTCTTTGTGCCTATATGTACTCAATGTTTAGCTTCCACTTATAAGTGAGAACATGCAGTATTTGGTTTTCTGTTCCTGTCAGTTTGCTAAGGATAATGACCTCCAGCTCCACCCAGGGTGCTAGAATGCATATAATTTCATTCATTTTATGGCTGCATAGTATTCCGTGGTGTATATTTACCATATTTTCTTTCTCCAGTCTATCGCTGTTGGGTATTTATGTTGATTTTATATCTTTGCTATTGTGAATAGCGCTGCGACGAACGAATGCATGCATGTGTCTGAATGGTAGATCAATTTATATTCCTTTGGGTATATACTCAATAATGGGATTACTGGGTACAGTGGTAATTCTGTTCGAAGTTCTTTGAGAAATTGCCCAACAGCTTTCTACAATGATTGAATTAATTTACATTCCCACCAACAGTTTATAAGTGTACCCTTTTCTCCACAACCAAAATAGCATCTGTTATTTTTGGACTTTTTAATAATAGTCATTCTCATTCCGACTGGTGTGAGATGGTATCCCATTATGGTTTTGATTTGCATTTCTCTAATGATTAGTGATGTTGAGTATTTTTTTCATAAGCTTGTTGGTCACATGTATGCATTCTTTTGAAAAGTATCTGTTCATGTTCTTTGCCCACCTTTTAATGGGGTTATTTGCTTTCTGCTTGCTAAGTTGTTTAAGATTCTTATAGATTCTGGATATGATACTGTTGTCAGATACATAGTTTGCAAATACTTTCATGCTATAGGTTGTCCGTTTACTGTTAATAATTTCTTTTACTGTGCAGAAGCTGTTTAGTTTCATTAAGTCCCACTTGTCAAATTAAGCCCAGCATGCATTTTCTTTAAAATGGCTTTTGAGGTCTTACTCATAAAATTATTCCTGAAAATAATGGCATTTCTTGTTTTCTTCTAAAATTCTTTCTTATAATTAGAGGTCTTACATCTACATATTTAATTTATCTTTAGTTAATTTTTTATGGTGTAAGGAAGGGGTCCAATTTCAATTTCCTGTATGTGTCTAGCCAGTTATCACAGCACGATTTGTTGAATAGGGAATCCTTTTCCCATTGCTTGTTTTTGTCAGGTTTGTCAAGGATCAGATAGTTGTAGGTGTACTGATGGAGGTGGGTTCTCTATTGTGTTCCATTAGTCTATGTGTCTGTTTTTGTAACAGTACCATACTGTTTTCATCAATATAGCCTTGTAGTATTGTTTGAAATTAAATAATGGGATGCATCCAGCTCTGTTCTTTTTACTTAGGATCGTGTTGGCTATTTAGGCTCTTTTTTGGTTCCATATAAATTTTAAAATACATTTTTCCATTCCCATGAAGAATGCCATTGGTAGTTTGTTAGGAGTAGCATTGATTGTATACATTTCTTTGTTCAATGCAGCCATTTAAAAATATTGATTTTTCTTATCCATGAGCGTGAACTATTTCTCCATTTGATTGTGTGATCTTTGATTTCTTTGTGACATGTTTTGCAGTTCTTATTTTAGAGAACTTTTGCCTCCATGATTAGCTATATCCCTAAATATTTTTTTGCTATTTATGCCTATTGCAAATGGCATTGCATTCTTGATTTGGCTCTCAGGTTGGTTGCTGTTGGTGTATAGGAATGCTACTGATTTTTGTACACTGATTTTGTGTCACAGAACTTTCCTGAATTTGTTTATCAGATCAAGGAGCTTTTGGACAAATACTATGAAGTTTCCCAAGTATAGAATTACACTGACTGTACATTGGGAAAGCTTAATGTTTTCTCTTCCTATTTGGATGCCTTTTATTTCTTTTTCTTGCTGGATTGCTCTGGCCTGGACTTCCAATATCATACTGAATAGGAGTAATGAAAGAAGGCATCTTGTCTTGTTCTGCTTTTCAAGGAGAATGCTACCAGATTTTGCCCATTCAGTGTAATGTTGGCTGTGGGTTGCTCATAGATTGCTGTTATTAAAGTATGTGCCTTCAGTGCCTAGTTTGTTGAGTATTTTTTACATGACGGGATTCTTATTTTCATTAAAAGCCTTTCCTGCATCTATTGATATGGTCATGTGATTTTTGTTTTTAGTTCTGTTTACGTGGTGAGTGACGCATTGTTTTGCATATGTTAAAGCAACCTTGCAGCTCAGAGATAATGTCTACTTGGTTGTGATGTATTAGCTTTTTGATGCACTGCTGAATTCAGTTTGATAATATTTTGTTGAGGAATTTTGGATCTATTCTCATCAAGGATATTGATCTTAAGTTTTCTTCTTTGCTGTCTCTGCCAGGTTTTGGCAGCAGGTTGATGCTATCCGCATAAAAAATGTTAGTGAGTAGTCCATCCTCCTCATTTTTTTTGGAATATTTTCAGAAGAAATGGTGCTATTTCTTTTTTATCCGTGTGGTAGAATTTGACTCTGAATAAATTTGGTCTGGACTTTTTTTTTTTTTTTTGACTGGTGGGCTTTTTATTATTGACTCACTTTTTAACTCATTATTGATTTGTTTATGGATTCAATTTCTTCCTGGTCCAGTCTTGGAAGGTTTTATGTGTCTAAGAATTTATCCATTTCTTCTAGGTTTTCAAGCTTCTGTGCTTAGAATTGTTCATAATAATCTCTGATGATCATTGGTATTTCTGTGGGGTCACTGCTAATAATCAATTTGTAATTTTTATTGTTTATTTGTATCTCTCTTTTTAAAAATCTAAGTTCTGGGGTACATGTACAAGATGTGTAGATTTGTTACATAGTAAATGTGTGTCGTGGTGGTTTGCTGCACCTATCAACCTATCACCTGGGTATTAAGACCAACATGCATTAGCTATTTTTCCTGGTGCTCTCCCTCTGCACCCTAAACTCCAGACAGGTCCCAGCGTGTGTAGTTTCTTTCTCTGTGTATATGTGTTCTCATTGTTCAGCACCCACTTATAAGTGAGAACATGTGGTGTTTTGTTTTCTTTTCCTGTGTTAGTTTGCTGAGGATAATGGCTTCCAGCTCCATCCATATCTCTGCAAAGGACATGATATCATTCTTCTTTATGTCTGCATAGTATTCCATGATGTATATGCACCAGGTTTTCCTTATCCAGTCTATCATTAATAGGCATTTGGGTTGATTCCATCTCTTTGCAATTGTGAATAGTGCTACAATGAATATACATGTGCATGTATCTTTTTAATAGAATGATTTATATTCCTTTGGGTATATACCCAGTAATGAGACTGCTGGATCAAATGGTATTTCTGGTTCTCTATCTTTGAAGAATTGCCACACGATTGTTCACAGTGGTTGAACTAATTGACATTTCCACCAACACTGTAAAAGCATTTCCTATTTCTTCACAACCTCACCAGCATCTGCTGTTTCTTGACATCTTAATAATTGCCATTCTTCCTGACATGAGATGGTATCTTATTGCAGTTTTGATTTGCATTTCTCTAATTATCAGTGATGTTGAGCTGTTTTTCATATGTTTGTTGGCCACATGAATGTCTTCTTCTGAGAAGTGTCTGTTCATGTCCTTTACCTGCTTCTTATTGTGGTTGTTTGTTGTTTTCTTGTAAATTTGTTTAAGTTTCTTGTAGAATCTGGATATTAGACCTTTGTCAGATGGATACATTGCAAAAATTGTCTCCCGATCTGTAGTTTCTCTGTTTTCTCTGATGATAGTTTATTTTGCTGTGCAGAAGCTCTTCAGTTTAATTAGATTTCATTTGTCAATTTTTGGTTCTGTTGAAATTGCTTTTGGCAATTCTGTCACAAATTTTTTGTCCATGCCTATATCCTGAATGGTATTGCCTAGATTTTCTCCTAGGATTTTTATAATTTTGGGTTTTACATTTAAGTCTTTAATCCACCTTGAGTTAATTTTCATATAAGATGTAAAAAAGGGGCCCAATTTAAGTTTTCTGCATATAACTAGCCGGTTTTTCCAGCACCATTTATTAAATAGGAAATCCTTTCTCCATTGCATGTTTTTGTCAGGTTTGTCAAAGGTCAGATGGCTGTAGATGTGCAGTCTTATTTCTGAGTTCTATATTCTGTTCCCTTGGTCTATGTGTCTGTTTTTGTACCAGTACTATGCTGTTTTGGTATTGTAGCCTTACAGTATAGTTCACAGTCTGGTAGCATGATTCCTCCAGCTTTGTTCTTTTTGGTTGAAATTGACTTGGCTATATAAGCTCTGTTTGGATCCATATCAATTTTAAAATAGCTACTTCTTTATTATGTGAAGAATTTCAATGGCAGTTTAATGGAAATAGCATTGAATCTGTAAATTACTTTGGGCAGTATGGTCATTTTCACAATATTGATTCTTCCTATACATAAGCATAGGATGTTTTTTCATTTGTTTTTGTTCTCTCTGATTTCCTTAAGCAGTGGTTTGTCATTCTCCTTGAAGAGGTCCTTCATTTCCCTTTTAAGCTGTATTCCTAGGTATTTTATTCTCTTTGTAGCAATTGTGAATGAGAGTTCATTTACGATTTGGCTCTCTCCTTGCCTGTGGTTGATGTACAGGAATGCCTGTAAATTTCACACATCAGTTTTCTATCCTGAAACTTTGCTAAAGTTGCTTATCAGCTTAAAAAAGGCTTTGGGCTAAGAAGATTTTTTTTAAAAAAGATATAGGATTATATCATTTGCAAAGACAATTTTCCTTCCTCTCTATCTATTTGAATAACTTTTATTTCTTTCTCTTGCCTGATTGCCCTGGTCAGAACTTTCAATACTATATTGAATAAGAGTGGTGAGAGAGGACATACCAGTCTTGTGACTGTTTTCAAGAGGGATACTTCCAGCTTTTGCCCCTTCAGTATTATATTGGCAGTGGGTTTATCATAAATGTCTTTTATTATTTTGAGGTATGTTCCATCAATACCTAGTTTATTGAGGCTTTCTTTTTTTTTTTTCTTTTCTCTTTCTGCTTTTAGGATCCTTAGTTTATCCTTGACCTTTGGGAATTTGAATATTAAATGCCCTGAAGTAGTATTCTTTGGGTTAAATCTGCTTGGTGTTCTATAACCTCCTTGAACTTGGATACTGACATTTTTCTCTAGGTTTTGAAAGTTCTCTGTTACTATCCATCTGAATAAACTTACTACTCCTGTTCTGTGTTTTTCTCTACCATCTCTTTCAATCCAATAACTCTTAGATTTTCCCTTTTGACACTATTTTCTAGATTCTGCAGGTGTGCTTCATTGTTCTTTATTCTCTTTAATTTTGTCTCTTTTTACTGTGTATTTTTAAATATCCTGTTTTCAAGTTCAATAATTTTTTCTTCTCTATCCCTTCTGTTAGTAAAGGATTATGATGTATTATTCAGTATTCCAGTTGTGTTTTCCAGCTCCAGAATTTCTGCTTGATTATTTTTAATTATTTTAATCTTTGATAAATTTATCTGACAGAATTCTGAATTACTTCTATATGTTATCTTGAATTTCCTTGAGTTTCTTCAACATAGGTATTTTGAATTATCTCTCTGAAAAGTCACATATTTGTATTTCTCCAGGATTTCTCCATAGTGCCTTATTTGCTTCATTTTTTGTTTGTGTTTTCAGAGGTATTGTTGATGCTAGCAGATCTTCTTTGGTGTCTGCTCATTGTAGAGTTCAGTATTTATTGTGGTCTTCACTATCTTCATTTATTTGTAGCCATCCTTCCTTGGAAGGCTTTTGATTTATTTGAAAATAGTTGGGTTGTGATCTAAACTGTTTTTCTTTTAGGGAGCACCAAAGCCCAGTGACGCTGTGGTTCTTACAGACTCATAGAAGTACTGCCTTTATGGTCTTTAACAAGATTCAGGAGAGTTCTCTGGATTACCATCAAGAGACTCTTGCTCATTTCCCTTACTTTCTTCCAAACATATGGAGTCACTGTCTCTGTTCTGAGTTACCTAAAGCTGGAACTGGAGTTACACAATCCCCTGTGTGGCCACCACCACTATGACTGTGCTGTGTCAGACCTGAAGCCTGAACAGCACTGAGTCTCACCCAAGGCCTGCTGTAACCACTTTCTGACTACTATCTATATTCACACAAGGCCCTGGGGCTCTACAATTAGCAGCTGGCAAAGCCAACCAGGTCTTTGTCCTTTCCTTTTGGGTGGTAAGTTCTCCCAGGCCTAGTGTGGATCCAGAATTACCATCCAGAAGTCAGGAACTAGAGTCAAAAAAGTTAAAAGTCTACCTGGTATTCTATTGTATTGTGGCTGAGCTGGCACTCAAACCACAAGATGCAGTTCTTGTCACTTTTCTCTCCTCTTAAAAGGCAGAGGAACCTCACCTTGTAGTCCACCACCACCCCTGGCCTCTGGCCTCGTAGACTTCTGCCAGACTACTATTGATGTTAAGGTTAAAAGTCTCTTAAATCAGCTTGTGATGAAGGCTGCCTGTCCTGGGACTCACCCTTCAAAACAGTGGGATCCCCTCTAGCCCAGGGCATGTTCAGAAAGGCTGTCCAAGAGTCAAGTTCTCAAATTGGGGACCCCAAGAGCCTTCTTGGTGCTCTACCTGCCTGTCACAGTGTTGGTACCTAAAGTACAAGACAAATTCCATCCCCTTTATTCTTCCTTTTGCTTTCCTCAAGCAGAAGGAGTTTTGGTCTGTAGCCACCAAAGCTAGTAATGTGCTGAGTCTCACCTGAAGCCGGCAGGTCTCAGAGGCTCACCAAAATTCTTGATGTAGTACCTAGGCATCTCTGCTCATTATTAACAGCCCAGTCACTCTTCAATTAGCAGGTGGTGAATGTTGGGTGCACTGGGTTCTTTCCTTCAGGGCAGTGGTAAGCCTAGAAATGTCACCTGGCCAAAATTGTGTCTAGAAATATTATCTGGAATCTAGGTCCTGGAATGGAGCCCTCATGACTCTGACTATATCTGGCTGTGGCTGAGCTGGTATCCAAGATTCAAAACAAAGTTGTCCCCACTCTTTCATCTATTCTTCTCAAGCAGAAGGAATGAGTCTTCTTTGGGGCCATAAACTGTGCAGCCTGGATTTAAGAGAGGGGTGATGCCAGTACTCTCTTGGTTGCCCCAGATGGTGTCTCAGTATGTCACATGCCTCCCCCAGTCAAATTTTTTTGGGCCTGGTTTACCCCTGGCACATGCCTAATAGTTGCAGTCCTTATGGCATATACTGCTTTTCAAGTGTTCTTAAAAAAGGGAAATAATTTGGCCCTCAGTTGCCTGGTTTGCTAGCACTCAAGTTCAGACCGCTAGGATTGGTAATTTCCCTCTGTCTGGGGCTGGTTTAAATGTTCACTCTGTAGATGGATGTCAGCTGAGTTTGGTTGGGTTTTTCTTTC